TTTTACTATCCTTCATTCTCCGCCCACTGTCCTGTATGCTCCACCCACTGTCCTGTATGATCCGCCCACTGTCCTGTATGATCCGCCCACTGTCCTGTATGCTCCGCCCACTGTCCTGTATGATCCGCCCACTGTCCTGTATGCTCCGCCCACTGTCCTGTATGCTCCGCCCACTGTCCTGTATGCTCCGCCCACTGTCCTGTATACCCTGCCCACTGTCCTGTATTCTCCACCTACTGTCCTGTAAGCTCCGCCCTGTCATGTATTCTCCACCTACTGTCCTGTATGCTCCGCCCACTGTCATGTATGCTCCGCCCACTGTCATGTATTCTCCACCTGTCCTGTATGCTCCTCCCCATGTATGCCTGTCACTGTATTCCCACCTACTGTCCTGTATGCTCCGCCTACTGTCATGTATGCTCCGCCCACTGTCCTGTATGCTCCGCCCACTGTCCTGTATACCCTGCCCACTGTCCTGTATACCCTGCCCACTGTCCTGTATGCTCCGCCCACTGTCCTGTATGCTCCGCTCACTGTCCTGTATACCCTGCCCACTGTCCTGTATGCTCCGCCCACTGTCATGTATGCTCCGCCCACTGTCCTGTATGCTCCGCCCACCACACCAAATATGATCGAGTTTTATGTCAAGGTTACTAAAATACGACATGAAAAAGAAGGCTGAGTAGACTAAATTTTCCTAGATTTTCTGAAGCATTTGACACTATTCAGCATTTAAGACTGTTGTACAAGATGGAGGACCAGGCTGGGATAACTGGGTGAGGGAGTATCTGAAGGACTGAAAACAGAGAGTCACAGTCAGAGAGACGGCTTCAAGGTGGAGGAAGGTAACAAGTGGGGTCCCACAAGGCTCTCTTCTGGGACCGTTGTTGTTCCTAATGTATGTGAACGACCTGCCCGAGGGATTGAGCTCAGACATGTTTGCTGATGATACACAGCTGATGAGGAACGTCAATGCAGATGAGAATGCAGAAATGTACCGGAGGACCTTGACAAGCTCCAAGTGTGGTCAGACAAATGGTTGCTGGAGTTCAATCCCAATGAGTGTAAGGTAATGAAGATGGGAAAGGGAGAGAGGAGAGCAGAAGGCAGCTACATGAGAGATTAACCCGAGAGTGGATATAATTGCGACACTCACACCGGAGAGACACACATAGGAGCAGCAGGGGGAACTATCAGTAAGAACACCAAGGAATACCTGAGCTAATAACAGACAGGAAGGCCAATAACAGAGAAAGAGAAGTGAAGCACCATCACTAAAGTTGAGCATGTTTTACCGTTTTCTTTCATCGGTAACAACACACACACACACACACACACACACACACACACCTTATTAACAATAGCACAGAGAAACTGGAACAAATATATGGAAAAATAATGAAGAAAAAAAGGAAAGGGGGAAAATGTAGAACATAAAAAAACAAAGTTATAATATGAAATAAAAAACAGGAAGGAAAAGAAGGGCATATAGGGAAGTGAGAGAGATGTGACAGTGTTTGTGGGAAGAAGACCACTAGCACAACTAAGACATCTGTACACTAACTTGCTGGGGTACCCGGCAGTGCCCGGGTCGACCCGGTACTTGGATAAACCTTCCCGTCTCCACACACCCCCCTTCAGCCTCTTCCATAGGTCCCCACCTCCCCCATATATCCCTCCTGGTGAAATCATCAGTAATCCTGCAAAGTTTAAGCTATCTCCGAGTATCCGGCCTCCAACCTCAAAAAGATAGATAGACATTCACTCTTATAGATGTAAATAGAGATGTTTAGAGTCCAGACCAAATATCAACTATCCTGCTTGAAATTCCAGACAGTTTCAAGGTTCTAATGTCAGTCAATGTCCAAACTCATCTTCAACCTCAAGGTGGACACAATAGTTATCCTAACCTAACCTGAAGTCTTCCAGACTTGTCACACAGATGTAACAAGCAGTGTATGGCTGTTCATGTTGGTTATACACACACTTAGCTCATAGCTTTCTCTTCATAGAGACGTATCAGAGCTGGAAGGACTCCTCACCACCACAACTGGAAGAACTCCATCTGTACCACCAGAGCTGAAAGGACTCCATCACGACCACAACTGGAAGGACTCCACCACCACAACTGGAAGGACTCCACCACCACAACTGGAAGGACTCCACCACCACAACTGGAAGGACTCCACCACTACAACTGGAAGGACTCCATCACCACAACTGGAAGGACTCCATCACCACCACAACTGGAAGGACTCCATCACCACCACAACTGGAAGGACTCCATCACCACCACTAGAGCGGGGCGCTTCGAGTGTCTGAATAAATAACTGATAGAGTCAAATCCCCTTCCAGGACCTGCAAAAGCGACAGAAGATGATCCCGTTCCAGTGCGATAGAATATTCATCGGTCTGGATTTGTCCCGGGACTTTACGCTGGAGGCCTCGAATTCCAAATCCTGGAAAAGCCACGGAGGTGAGGGGGGCGGGGGCGGGGGAAAGCTGTGTGATGGATACTAAAAGTGAACTGGAGCAGGCCGGAGTCGCTGAGCAAAAATCTTGCTTTCCATAATGTCGACGACAAGTCTGGTACGCTGAGGAATACGGAGTGTCTTGTTGAGTCCTGGCTTGGAACGGTGGTGGGGAGGCTAGGGGTGTGGGGGTGTGGGGCAGGCTGGGGGTGTGGGGGCAGGCTGGGGGTGTGGGGGTGTGGGGATGTGGGGCTGGCTGGGGGTGTGGGGCAGGCTGGGGGTGTAGGGGAGGCTTCGGGTGTGGGAAAGGCTGTAGGTGTACTCACCTAGATGTGCTTGCAGGGTCGAGTTAGGCTTTTAGCCCCGCCTTCCGAACGTTCGTTGATTAATGCAATGACTCATTTTTCACGTTTTTATCATATTTACATTTAAAATTTTGAATCGAATTTGCTTCAACGGCTTCTGCATCTAACCTGTTCCATTTACTGACAGCTCTAGCACTTAAAAAATTCTCCCTGAAGTCTTTATGACTCATGTGCGTCTCCAGTTTCCATCTATGACCCTTCGTTCTGTTGTTGCTAGCATTGAACAGCCCTGCTTTGTCTGCTATGTCAGTTTCCCTCAAAACCTTATATGTTATCATGTCCCTCCTATCTCTCCTCTAGTGTGGTAAGGCCCAGTTCTCTCAGTCTTTCCTCAAAGCTCAACCCCCTCAGCTCTGGAACGAGTCTTGTTGCATATCTTTGTACCTTTTCTAGTTTCTCTTTGTCATTTTTCAGGTAAGGGTTCCATGTTTGGGATGTATATTCAAGCGTGTGTCTCACCTTCGCCGTATATAGCGCCTTGTCCAAGCTCCTGAAGGACACAGAAATATTGGTAAGTACCTCATGTGCAGTTGTTGTTAATCTGATAATGTGAGTTTCTGGCATCAGATTTTGTGTTATGTACACTCCAGGTCTTTCTCCTTTCCTGATTGAAGATTTGGTCTTCTATTCTTCGCACTCCTGTTCCAATCTCCATAACTTTGCATTTGGCTGTGTTAAATTCTAGCGGCCATTTTCTGACCACTTCTGGAGTGTGTCCAAATCCCTTTGCAGTGCATCATAATCTAACCCTGACCTGACTCTTCTCATTAGAAGAGTCAGGGCAGCTTCATCATCTGTAAATATTGCCATGAAGAAGCCAATTTCCTCTGTGAGGTCATTGACACATATTAGAAGCAGGATGGACCCTAGAGCCGACCCTTGTGGTAACCCACTTATAACCTCTCTCCACTCTGATGTCTCTGCTCTCATTGTAACCCTTTGCTTCCTCCCTGAGAGATACTCTCTAACCTACCTTAGAACTCTTCCAGATAGGCCAGCCTGCTTCTCCAGTTTGAGTAGGAATCTTTCACGCGCGACCGTATCAAATGCCTTCTGACAGTCAAGTAATATGCAGTCTGCCCATCTCTCTCTCTGGTTTGGTTTCTGTCATGGGGAAGGCTGAGAGTGTGTGGGGAGGCTAGGGGTGAAGGGGAGGCTGTGAATCTTGTACTCAAGGTTGAAGATTGAGAGACTGGACAAAAGAACTTAAACCTTTGCGTAAACCTGGGGAAGATTGACTGGGAATCAAGTCTTAACCGTTTGCCCCTGTTCACCCAGCAGTAATTGTGTTCCTGGGAGTAAAACCGATGGGCGGGTCGTTGTCCAGAGAAAACTAGTAGGATAAGGCTTAACATCAGCTACGGGAAAGTAAAGCTGTTAGCCAGCTAACAGGAGTCAGAACACGTCTGTTCCTTTACCCACCTGTGTAAAGATAAATATTGATTAGTTGATCAATTGATTTTGCAAGTGGGCTAAATGTGTCACCGGTGTATTAGTTAAATTCCTCTAGATATTTATTACTTAATGAAATAACAATCTTTATTAGCAAAAATATAGAGCAGAAGGTCGATAGATATAAACAAAATATAGATATAAACAAGTTGAGCAGAAGGGCCTCAGGTGACCGGAGGTAAATAAACGCACGTGTCTGACACTGACTAACCAGAGCCATAAGGGTTCATCAACCACTTACGTGTCCACTTACGAAACCTCTACATCTTTCCTCTATCATGGCGGCTTTGTATTTATTGAACAGTTTACGAGCTTCGGAACCTCACAAACTAATATTATTGTTATTGAGGACTTCGTAGCGCTCCACCGGTCGTAAACTGTTAATGAATACAGACTAATCCGCCATGATGGAGTAAAGATGTACAGGCTTCTTAAATGTAACACAAATAAGGAGCAGCGGCTTCAAGCTCAACAAGCCACAGTGTAGGACAGAAAGCCATACATGCCGCCGGCTTTCTGTCCCCGTGGAAGCCACTAGATAGATAAGTGTCCCTCAGGTAAATTACCTGTTTAGTGAATCATGGCCAAGATTCTTGCGCATGCGCGGAGGTCGACAAATCAAAGGAGGTCGAGTGATTGTTGCTTCCAGGTGGATGAGTGGTCAACCACACCGGGTGAAGACCTCCACAACCACTCCCTGCCCGCTCCATGCCACTCTGTTTGTATGTAAATAGTGTCAGGTCACGATACACAATTATTATTCACGCCAATTAAATCCGCAATTTTTAATCAAGCGATACGCATTAATTGTGCTGATAAATTGGTCGCTCTAGTCGAGTGAGTTCGGTCTTTTTGGCTTGCATAATTTAGTAGTGTTTTTGTGCAGCATTAGGCAGGGCTGGGAGTGTGGGGGGGAGGGTGTATGTTGGGGGGGGGGGGGTATGTGGGGGGGTTGGGGGTGTATGTTGGGGGTGGTTGGGGGTGTATGTTGGGGTGTGTGGGGGGGGGGTGGGGGGTGGGGGTGTTGGGGGGGGGGG